AGTTTTGCTAAGCATTTTATTTATATTTTATGTAAGATTTAAATTTGGGATTCACCTTCTATTCTAATGGATTTCTTTATTCGCAACTTTTTATTATTAGCATGTTGTTTTTAAAATACGCGGATTTGTTAAATTACTGTTCTTGTAGCCAAACATAGAATTTGATATTAAGGTCCTAGTTTGGCCGGGGTCGTCCCGAATTTCCACCTTGTGACCCAGGTTTTTCTAGAAGAAATATTTGACGGATTTAGATCTTTTGTCAAAAAGTGTATGTTTAAATTAAATGTTCGCATTAGGTTTTTATTTTTTTTCTTGAATTTTTTCCAATAATAAACTTATCAAGTATTTTACCATTTTTAATGGTGGGCCTCTCAAAGTCGATTTAAAAATTTTAAATTTATAGTTCAACAAAAAGTCTTAATTCGTGAAAACTTGGGGCAATTGTATTATTTTTTTATACTGTAGTCATAAAATTGTTATTCACGGTTACGGTTCCGAAGTTTAAATAAATAAAATTAATAAAAATCAACCACAAAAACCAAAAAATGGCCATAAATTCACCAAAACTCTAGGTTGCCCTCGAAAGCTCGTAATTTCCAAACAACGTGAGATAATTTTCTTTTCTTTTTTTTTTTCAGGACAGTACTATCACCGCATTTCGGCTTGACATTAAGTTCTGGAACACCTGGGATTGTACATATATAAAGAACAAGTTTTTTGCGTCAAATAGAAGGTTGCCCGTAGGTAAGTGGTTAGAGCCATAAGATTTAAATCACAGGTTTGATACACGTTTAAGCAGGCCGATGTCGAACAGTAGTAATATCGGTTTTTATTTGGAAATATATTATAGATAGCAATATGTTTCCAAGTGACAGTTGCCCTTGGCCCGCATTGCTGCATCAACAAAAAATTCATCACTATTACATAAATTGTAATAATAAAAATTGGTCATATAGAGATGGGACAACTGTTTGGGTTGCCATCTATAAAAAAAATGTCAAATCATAAGAACTACTTATAAAACCCTCAAGTTCTGATCAATATTATGAACATGTTCTAAGGATGTATAAAAACCAATATATTTGCACATTAAAAATACGAAACATATTTTTTTCTAATTATCCAAATGGATTCAGTACTTTTCCCCGAAATGTGGCAAATGTACGTACTGGCACGCACATATTTTTTTTCTGATAATGAGGCATGTGATCAGAAGGCTTTGAAGTGCAAAGCTATCAAAAAAGTTAAAGTTGAGATTTTTGCGATTTTAATAACCCATCATTCTGGAAGTTAACAAATTACTTAATGGCAGGCCGATGTCGAACAGTAGATAATAATCGAATATCGGTTTTTATTTGGAAATATATTATAGATAGCAATATGTTTCCATGTGACAGTTGCCCTTGGCCCGCATTGCTGCATCAACAAAAATTCATCACTATTACATAAATTGTAATAATAAAAATTGGTCACATAGAGATGGGACAACTGTTTGGGTTGCCATCTATAAAAAAAATGTCAAATCATAAGAACTACTTATAAAACCCTCAAGTTCTGATCAATATTATGAACATGTTCTAAGGATGTATAAAAACCAATATATTTGCACATTAAAAATACGAAACATATTTTTTTCTAATTATCCAAATGGATTCAGTACTTTTCCCCGAAATGTGGCAAATGTACGTACTGGCACGCACATATTTTTTTTCTGATAATGAGGCATGTGATCAGAAGGCTTTGAAGTGCAAAGCTATCAAAAAAGTTAAAGTTGAGATTTTTGCGATTTTAATAACCCATCATTCTGGAAGTTAACAAATTACTTAATGAGCCTTCAGTTCTAAAACCAATATAATAAAATAATAACTGTTATAATAAAATAACAATAAAACTTTTTTTTAGCATCTTTTTGGAAAGCATCCCACCTTTTATTCTATCTATTTGATATATGTTGATCATTTAAATTTCTCGAATACTGATGATATATTTTTAATTTGATGCAGCAATTTCGAGAGAAGGCTATTCTTCCACGAAAACTCACTTAGATCTATATTTTTAAGTGAAAACTTCTATCACTACTGCTTGATACCAAGCTGTCGTTGAAGCCTGTAATATTGGGTTACAAATACAAAACGTATCTATCATAGATTGTTTTTCTGTGTAATAAAATTTCATAAAAATCATTATCTAATCATGATCTAATTCTACTAGAACCATCAAAATGCCTATGTACTTTACAGTACTTTTGATTATTTTTTGTCTATATCTAATATTCCTTCGAACTTTCTATCCATAATAGTTTTGGTTTTGTAATGTCCATAATTTAACAATCTCAGTATCACAAATTATGTTCATTTCAGATATAGCATCAGATTTGAATAAATCAATTCTTGTACATATTATATCCGATGACACAATGGCATACAGTTACAAGATTTTTATCTGCGTATAATTTAAACAAAAATTTCTAATTTCTAATCTCACTTAAACTCTCTGACATGTCGAATATAGATTTGCCGCGAGCTCTATCACTTTAGCCTGAAATGAAAAAAAAATATCTCAAGTAAATTACGTTTTAAGATTTCGGTCATTGGCATAGACAACTTCCGATAGAGAACAAAATAATTATTAACTTTCATATAAAGAGAATAATTGCTTATGATGGTAGACCTATGTATCGCGAATGATTTTGTTTAAATATATCTACTTATATAGATTTTAATAAATAAAAATAATGACATCTTCTAAAATTATTACTATTAGTATATTATTGTAGATCATCATATATTGGTTAAAATATGGTTAAAATTTAGACAATTAGATCAAAATTGGTCAGAGATAACTATGTCAAAATATATAGGTATAGAGACTTAAATAGAGAGCAGGTCTTAAAGATCCGCGGGTAAAAAGGTCCACCACCATTATAACAAAAAACAATTAATGTTAAGAATTTTTTAACAACAAAGTTTGAAAGTAGAAGGAAGAATTAAAAATAAGACATTGGACCTGTTTGTCTCTTGACTGTCCTATTTTACCCTGCCTATGCAGTAAACAGGATCAGATGACAAGTTTTTGAAAAACAGCAAAAACTAGTTGTGTATGGCATCGTGCCTTAAGGCAAATTGCTAGAACTTTCCGTACCATAACGAAATTTTCCAGGAATATTAAATGTTTTAATATAGATTATTATAAATACTGTAATATTGTCTAATATTTATAAGAGTTATATAAACTGAATTACAAAGTCAAAATTATTTATTTAAAGTATATAAGTGAGCTTTAGAACTTTAGCCAGAATTAAAATTCAAATCTGAATTATTTTCGATATGCAAAATTTTTTTTCCCAAAAACAATTATTTTCTGAAAACAAGCAGAAAGTTCTTTGATTCATTCAAATCGAATGCTTAGATCTCCTAAAAACTTAACTAGTTGGTATTGGTATTTAGCCTTGAGGCAAGTTACATGAACTTCCCGATATGTGTAAATAATCGACTTAATCAATATGAAATAGATTAATTTATGAGTGATTAAAAGTATTTCGAGTGGATTTATTATTTTTAAATAATAAAGAAACGGCTTGGCAGATCGTTGCACAAAACTTACAAATGATAGTCCTCATCGAGGTACTCAAATGGCATTTAAATTTCTGAAATCGGTTCAGACGTTTTTGAGAAAATGTCGATGAAGGATATAATTTTGACAAATGCCAAAAAACGATACCAATTTTTGCAAACTTTGACTAATTTTGAAAGTTGAACTAGTTGTCGTAGGGCCGTAATATTTTAGTATGATCTAGAAGCCCATGGTATCTACCGTCAAAAAAAAATGAAAATCGTCAAAAAAAATTTTTTTAACACTTTATTACAAGAAAACGGCCCGGCCGATCTTCACCAAAAACTAATCAGCACGATTCACAACCAAAATCTTTCGAACGGTTTTTGAATTTTCAAAATCGATTCAGAATTGCGGGCCAAAACGTGGACGAAAAATTTTTCACTTTTCTGCTATTTATAAAGAAACGTCTCGGCCGATCGTTGCACAAACGATAGTCCTCATCGAGATACATCGAATGGCTTTTAAATTTTTGGAATCGGTCCACCCGTTTTCGAGAAAACGTCGATTTACGGCAAAAAAATCTGTTCACATACACGCACACACACACATACACACACAAACTTTTTCCAAATTTGGTCTCATTCGATTCAGAATGGCTTGAAACGTCGAGAAAACTTTAAATTAGCGATTTTTTGATGAAAACATAAACTTCTACTTCGGGAAGTTAAAAACAAAAAACTAAAAACAATTTTTTGTACATTTAGCTCGGTATCTCCGAAACGGCTGGACCTGCCTTTGCCGAAAACTAATCAGCACATCTCCCTATTAATAAGAATCAAATGTTCCTGGAACCATTCAAATCGGTTGATTCGTGCCCTCGAAAACGTGGACGAAAAATTGTATCCATACATACATACACACATCCATTTTTTCTGAGGCATGCAAAATGTTCAGAAATTTTCGAAACGTGAAGAAATGTAAAAAAATTCAATTTCGATTTTTTGACTATTACAATAACTTACCCTACGGGAAGTTAAAAAACACATTTATTTGAATTTTTAACTTACCGTAGGGTAAGTTATAATAAGTGCAAAAATATCGAAAATTAAATTTTTTATATATTTTTACGTTTCAGGGGTCTGAACATTTTCGCATATCATATAAACAATGGATATATGTGTGTATGTGTATGTATGTATGTATGTGTATGTATCATAAAAAATTATCACAAAGTATACGAAATTAGCACCAAATTCAAAATTTATTACACATTCTAACATAAAATCATATTGAAAATCGAAAAATGTCGTGAATGAAATTACATATCTGACATTTTAGGTTATGTCAAACAATTTTCAATTTCGGGAGTGGTTTGAAAGATTCATGACTGAATACAATTTTAGTGTTTTATATTCTAAACTCTAGTGTCATCAAAATTGAAAATAATGTCTGTAGCAGTTTATTTCTATTCAGTGGGTGCGTGTTTGTTGCTTTCAATCACCTATGTTGCTAGCCTTTACATTTGGAGCTCCAATTACCCAAGAGATCATCCTTTAACAATTAAAAGAAGATTTTTTAGTGTATTTATCATGATGTTTATATCACCAATGTTCTTGTATGTAATGGGTTCCGAAGAACTTTTTAAAAAAGCTACAATTTGGGAACTACTCGGATTCAGGACAGATGGTATTGTAAATGCTTCAATAATACCACTTATGTTAACAATGGTCTTATTCCTTGGACCCTTATCAATGAGTCAATACAGCGGTTTTAATGCCAGCGAATACATGAATAATTTTACAAATTTGGTATGGCTGCGAAATCATATAGTAGCTCCATTGTCTGAAGAATTCACTTTTCGAGCTTGTATGTTGCCGTTACTTCAGCAGTGCTTTGGAAGACTTGCGTCGATTTTAATATGTCCATTATTTTTTGGAGTTGCACATTATCACCATATGCAAGAGAGATTAAAATCCGGGATGTGTTTGAAGACTACAATCATCATATCTTCATTCCAATTTTTGTATACAACATTATTTGGAGTTTACTCAGCTTATTTATTTGTGAGGACAGGACATTTTGCAGCACCTTTTGTGGTGCATGCCTTTTGCAACCACATGGGATTACCTAATTTTGAGGAAGCTTTGTCTTATAAATCGCCAAAGAAGGAAAGAGTTTGTTCACTATTTCTTATTGGATTGGTAATATGGGGATTTCTTATTGAACCAATTACAAAACCGCACTTATTTTCAAATCATTTGTACAATTTAAATTATGAAGACAATAGTATTCAATAATTACATAAAATATTTCAAATGAACAGATAAAATAATTTGTTTATATAATGCCATTTTAAATATAGGAAAGAGACTGATTAAAATATTAACATATAAATTTTTCTTTTTCTTTTTTTTTAATTTTTGAACAGCAATCAGAACCTTACGTCCTATGAGTTGTTGGGCTAAAACTTCTCCTTACTTCGTATTTTTTAGATGGTAACCTAATGGTTAATCCATCCATATTTGATGATTTTTGTTATTAGAATTATTCTAATAGGGCTGACATTTTAACATATAAAATAAAATAGAATAAAGTGTTACTTGTTGATTATATAAGTCAATATCTATTTTGTTTGATCAAACGAAAGAACAATGCAACAATCCATTAGGGAAGAAAAAAATAATTATGAAATCATTTATAAAAAGAGATGAAACTTTAATATGTGCGGATACAATTTTTCGTCGACGATATCGAAGACACGAATCAACCGATTTGAATGATTCAAAAAAATATTTTACTTGTACTGACAAAGTGAAGAACTTGTTAAATTTTGGTGAATGGAAGTCTGTTTTGAAGATCGAGTAAAAAAAGTAAAAATAAATGCTATTTATCGCTCAAAAATTATCATTAGACACATGCACATCAAATTAACAGATATTTTATAAATATTTTAATAATAATATCTCGCCTCGATATCTCGTCTCTACGCAAACAAAGTAGCGCGATTACTTTAAAAACAAGTTGCAAATTTTCAGAAATTTCAAAATATTTCAAATTAAAAAAAGTCATATTATTTCAAAAATTTCAAAATTCTCAGAAATCTACTTTTTCAGTTTTAAAAAAATATTAAGCATTTCTAAAATTTTTAATTTTTGCTACGGTAAGTTCCAGCAATTTGCCTTAAGGCACGATGCCATACTTCACTAGCTTCACAGTAGATTGAAATACTTCTTAAAAATAGTTACAACTGCGATATTCATTCTTTGGGGCGTGAAGCTCTACACCACTAACTTGCTTCTTATAAAGAATAACAATGTTTAAATACTAAAAAGCAACAATCTTGATTATTTGCAAGAAATTTCTTTATTATCCATGTATAGAGCTTAGAAATAAATAATTCTAGTTCTTACAGCTCGTTGGGCAATAGTCTCTACATCACCAGTAAACCTTGACTCCGTGCATTTGAGAGGTAGGATTTAATACCAAATTTAGCAACACTGCACGGCAGAACGCACAACAAGTAACTATGTGCATATACCTTGAATTTTCTAATACAACTTTTAAGTTTAAATATCAAACGAAGAAAATAATTGTGAAACTTAATGAGTTTCGATATTATGTACGATAGTGAACGCAAGACGATGGTAATAAATTGAAAATATTGCGAATCAAATACAAGAAAATGGATAAAATAATCTACTGGTCTGTGGCACTGTGCCTTCAGGTAAATTGCTGGAAACTTCCGTATTGTAATTTAAAATTTTTATAAAACTTAATTTTTTGAGAATTAAAAAGTATATGTAAATCTTGGTACGGAATCCCTAGAAACCTAAACAAAATTTGTACTTATCAAAATCTCTATAAAATATTTGATATTTTGATGTGCATATGTATAATGATCATTTTTATTGCCATATGGCAGTTTTTTTAATTTGTTTTTATTGGATTTTTGAAACCGCTAGACCTGCCTTCCTAAAAATTTAAAAAAAAATTATTCAGTCGATACTAAAAATATGTTTTTTGAATAATTCAAATCGGACGCTCCTTTCTTTGAAAATTGTCATTTCTTGCACTTTTGCCTCGTATCTTCGAAACGGCTGAGCCTGCCTTTGTCAAAAACTAATAAGCACTTCTCCCCATCAATAGCAATCTAATGTTTTTTGAATCATGCAAACCGGTTGATCCATTCTCTCGAAATCGTAGAACAAAAATTGTATCCGACATACATACGCGCGCGCACACACACCCACATACAGTTTTTCTAATCGCAAAGTATGCCAAAGTGTTCAGAAACCTTTGAAGCATAAAGATATACAAACATTTTTAATTTTTATTTTTTGCAATTACTTTAACTTACCTTACCCTAAGCGAAGTCACTAGGTGTAAGTGGCAGTTTGCTTTGAGAATGTCTGTAAAAACTTTCCAATATGCGTAAATCATCGGTATAATAAATACGAAATGAAATTTAGTTACCTTGTAAAAATTGTAAGAGTAGAAGTATGAATTATAACAGGGCTCATTATTGCAAACTATGAAGATTTTTTATAATAAAATCACTTTTTGTAGACTCATAATGTTTAAGTCTTATGCTCCCTAAGACCATGACCTCTACCATAAATCATACCATAACGACCATAAACATCAAAAAAAGTTATCAAAATCATAAATAATTTAATGAATAATTACGAAGAAACAGTCTTACCTATCTCTACCAAAAACGAACCAGCACAATTCCAATCTGATATTTTTCGTACCTTTTAAAAAAATTAAATGAACTTAAGATTTTTGGCTAAGAAAAGTAGTCGATTTTTTTTTTATTTATATGCTATTAGTAAAAAAACGGCACGGCCGATATTCGTAAAGAACTATTTAACCCATGTCCATATCAAGTTTCATCTTATGTGACTTCTAAATTTTTGATATTGGTACATCAAATCGACAAAATGTAATATTTTGACACATTTTGGCTCCCCGTTTTTGGTGTCTAACGAATGATTAAAAATGTAGAGACATTCGTAACTATAATATATAATAAAAAATTTAAAAAATGAATGGATTATATAACAAAATGTAGAATGTTAGGAAATTTTAATAAGCATTTTGAAAAGAGTGACAATTGAAAAAAACAAATTAAAGATGTTTGACTTTGCTTTTATTAACGTTTTTATTAAAAAATAACATTTGCAATTTACGAATGTTTGTAACATACACAATGACCTAAAATGTGGAAGAAAAATAATATTACCAAACTGGATTTTCTAGCGAAAATATAAACTCCTCCTTAATGAAGATACAAAAATAAATTACCGCAATGTTTATTAGCTAACTCGTTTACTCGCGAATTGCCGGAGCAGCGTCATACGAGTGGAAAGGGGTAATTCTATATTAATTATCTAAAGTAATTTGAGATAATACTCGAATTGACTATTAAATTCGAATTATGACTATCATAATTATTGGCTTAGGCTTAAGAGTTTTAGGCACATACTTTCTTCGCTTTATTGATTTATCATTTTTATAATCATGAGCATTTCAAAGAACGATTCACGTATATCACGTACTAATATACAAATGCTTTTCGAGAAATACATGAAGATGACGTTTCGTGATCAAACAATGTAACATTGTGTTCACACAATGTATGAAATGCTTTCGAAACTCGCAAAACCATAAATATTGACATATAGTAAGTATAAATTCATTAATAAGTTAACTTTGTATAATGTGCATTTATAACTTAAAGAAATTGTCCCAGTGAGAAGAATAAGATCTTGCAGAATTTATTAATGGGAATAGATAATTGGCAACCGGTAGGCGAAAATTGGTATTTCGATTTGGCCTCAGTTGGCATTAAAATAAAATTCCTCGGTCGCTAAATATGGATCACAAGGTTAATTCGCTGATACTAAAAACCTTGTTCATAGGACAAATTATTGAATCAGACATTTTGAAAAATGGTTTTGAAATAAAATTTTTATTTCCTGCATACTATTAACAATGGTTCCGGGTTTGATACTCACCTTGGTCATCATGCATCAGATTTTTACTAAAAATTATGAGTTTCAAATATGCCATTAAGTAAAAATAGCCTTTTGGTAAGGACATGCTGTAAAATATATTCACGTAATTTCGATTTCAGTCAGATATTTCATAAATCCGTACTGTTTTAACACGTTATTGTTACGTATTATTGTATAAGAAAATTAACTTGAGTATAAATTCAGAAGTATAGTTATTAATATATAATTTTAAGTACTAGATTTAAATTTGAGTTATTTGGTATACAATGAGATATTTCTTACCATTACTAGTTTTGGCATACGAAACTAAAATTAAAAACAAACTATTTTTGTTATACATTTGTGATGATTTTCCAAATATATTCAAAAAGTTTTCACTTGAGATTATAGATATCAAATATATAAAGTGAAAATAGACCTTCTGGAGATTTTTGCAATATAGATTCAAATTATTATTAGAAATATATCTGATATAATTTCATATGAAGGTAAGTGATTATTAAATGGATTGCTTTTAGAAACACTGACTTACAATTAGACTTTTTTCACGTTCGTGCGATTTCTAGGATAGTTTTTATATATCAAACGCCTGATTGCACAGCAACCACATAAGCATTTTGACAGTTTTTAGTACCATTTTATATGAAAAACGCAGCGTAACATATCTTTGCCATAATATTGTTCTATTTTACGCCAGTATTGATTCATAAGAGTCCTATGAAAGCTGTTGTACCAATTTGACTTAATACTACGTCGGTTTTACAAATAGCAACTTAAACAGTTATCTCATCTTTGAGTGATAAATTTTATTATTACATTTTCTGTAATAGGGTAAATATTTTATAAATGCATCAATGCCAAATAATACCTATTTTGAAAACATTTAATGCTATCTATGATTCCAAGAGCAAAACCGATGTCACTACTGCTTGACATCACGCTGCTTAAAGTGGGATCGAACTCGGGATCCCATAAAAAAACCTGGCTAATATTTTGTATGGCGCAATTATTCCATTTTTATAACTAAAATAAAATGATTGAATGCAAAAATATGTAATATCTTGAGTTCAGAAAGTAATCTATTGAAAAATTAACCAACGCCATGATCGGCCATAAAGTTTAACTTTGCCAATTTAATCTCTATCTATACTCTACCAAGTATTCTATCAGAAAGTATCGAAATTTTTCCATTCAAACTAGCCCAAGCTGGAAAACAAATGATATCTTTAAAATAATGTATTCTGCAAGTTTTACAAAAAATTCTGAAGTAACATTTT